TCTGAACTATAATCCAGTTGGCTGCTCTTCATTGTCAAAATCTGTCATCCTGCTTCCCTGCCTTTGCTGGCTATATATGACTAATGCTAATAACAGCAAAATGTGGTAAGAATGTAGGAAAAAGAGTACCATGGAAAGGCAGAGAGAGGCGTGAATAATCCAGGCTTTTAAGATCCAGCCTCCTATGTAGAGAGAGACTGATGCTGAAAGAAGTGACTAGTGAAGTTCGCAGAGCTAAAGAGTTGCAGAACTGAAACAAGAATCTAAGACGCCATTCCTAGCTGAGGTCTTTTATGAGAGCACACTGCCTCTCAGAATTTATCAGGGGAGTTGGCGAAGTGTACAGGGTTGCCGCCTCTGTATCCTGCCCTCTCCATAGACCAGACACACCCCAGGGCATATCTGGGCTATTAGGCTTTGAAGTGAGTCTTGTGAGTCCTCTCTGCCGGTAATAGCTGTCTACTTGGACCTTAATAAGCCAGTTCATAAGATGCGCTGTGGCTGCCTCATCATTTCCTAAGCTGTATCTGTAGCATCATATGCTTTCCCATTCAGACCCGTTTGTCCCCAGATGTCTTTAACCATTGCATTAGAACAAACTTTGGAGCATGTATTCGTAATATGTGTATATTTGTTAATAAATTATATTGATGCATTAATATGTATTTATGTTACATATTTTATGAAGCATAGAAAAATTGAAATAAAGTATTTGATAAAAATAAGTTTAAGTAGAAGGTTTAATATGTTATTTCTGATCATCAGAGGATTGTTTTGTCCCTTCAGGCCCCCTCCCCAAAGGGACCATGTTTTGTCTTAGAAGAATAAATCAAACATTGTCACTTTGTTAAAGTCATTTTTCTTTATTCCCATTGGAATTAGTCATCTTCAGATGCAAGCTTATATTGGTTGCCATACTTTTCTTTTTGTTTGCATGATCGGTATTAGTCAGGGTTCTCCAGAGAAACAGGGAGAGGGAGAGGAGGGAGGAAGAGAGAGAAGCAGAGGGACAAAGAAGAGATTGGGATTTAATTTAAGGGATTGGATCATGTGGTTGTGGGGGTGGGCAAATCTGAAACTCAAAAGGTAGACTGAAAGCTGGAAATTCACGCAAGAGCTGATGTTACAGCTGGAGTTTGAAGGCTGGAAACTCAGGCCAACTTTTATCCCGAGCTCTGAAGGCAGAATTTCTTCTCCTTTGGGGGACCTTAGTCTGTGATCTTAAGCCCTTTAACTGATTGTATGACGCCTACTCATATGGCGGAGGGCATTCAGCTTTACTCAAAGTCTGTTTATTTAAATATTAATCACATATAAAAAGCACCTTCACTGCAACGTCTAGACTGGTGTTTGATCGAACAGTTGGGTACCAGTAGCCTAGCCAAGTTGACACTTAATATTTACTGTCCTGCATTTCTGTCATAATTTTTTAGCTGGGACTTTTGTGGTAGCCTCCTAACTTATATTCCAGCCTTCAATGTCTGCAACTTCCAATTCAGCTCCTGTGCTATCAAAGAGAGCTTTGAAAGAAAGAGATTATTATGGGGGAGTTTGATTCCAGACTGCATACATAATAATGATATTCACTGCAATAATATATTGCTTTAGTATTTTCCAGAATACAGGTATGATAATTAACATTTAAAGCTCTGTGCAGTCTGACCCCTCTACCTCTTTAGCCTCACCTCTTGTCATTGCCAGACTTATGTATGTACCCTCTAGCTACCCACCAAGGTACTGTTAGTCCTTCAAATGCACTTATAATTTTCCTGCCTCTATGGCTTTGCTTCGCAGAACAGAACCAGCACTAATTAATACAAAGCACAATATGATAAAATTATAGGAATAAAGAAGGGGCAGTGGCAGAACAGATGTCAATGTGAATAATTGAAGCTTTTTGGATTTGAAATGACTTTCTTATGGTGAGCAGAAAGCAAAGGGTGAGTTAGGTGGTGTCATGGGCAGCTTTGTGTCTCTGCCAAATTCCTGTTGAAGTGCCAGTTCCCAGCACATCAGACCGTGACTGTATTTGGACATAGGGTCATTACACAGCTAATTAGGTTAAAGGAGGTCATTAGGCAGGCCCTAATCCACTATGACTGAGGTCCTTACAAAAAGAGGAAATTTGGACACAGACTTATAGAGAGGCAAGACCATGTGAAGACAGAGGGAGAAGCTGGCCATCTACAAGCCGAGGAGACAGGGCTCCAAAGGAACCAGCCCTGCTCACACCTTGATCGCAGACTTCCACCCTCCAGAAACATGAGAAAATAAATGTCTGTTGTTTAAGCCACCCAGTCAGTGCCACTTTGTGATGACAGCCCTGGCAGACTCATACAGATGGGAGGAAAGGTGCGTGGGGAGCAGAGTGAGCTAACTTGAGAGGCAGCGCAGGTGCAGAGTGCTGTGCCTGTGGGCCACGCATCTAGGTTACCACTGCTAGGTTATAGCTGAATGTTGGCTGAGTTCCAGAATGGGTTGGACATTTGCCTGGTACTTGAATTAGCCAACATCTACTGGTGTGGAAAGGGGGTCTGTCATGATTTGTTTGGTCTGAAAATGAGAGAAAGGACCTTCAAGAGAAGAAGGTTTATCAGAAGCAAGACAGAGCTTTGTTTTTTAAAGCTTGGATACCTTGTTATTGTGAGGGAAGAATCTCTCGTGCTCTGGAACCACCAAGACTTGGGTGATTACTGAGGACCCAGAAGGTGGAGTTAAGGATGTGTGGGAGAGCTGCTGTTGCTGCTTTCGTTTTGTGTTATTTTGCTAGACATGTGGGGGTCATAGTGACCTTCTGTTATCCTTGTTAGCTTGGGTTGATTGAAGAGCCAGCATTTCTCTTAATTTTTCTTTTCTTTTTTATTAAAAAGAATATTTTTAGAGCAGTTTAACATTTATAGAAAAATTATAAAGACAGTACAGAAAACTCCCATATACCCCAAACCCAGTTTCTTTTATTAGTAGCATTTTACATTATCATGGTTACATTTGTTACAGTTAATGGACCAATACTGATATGTTACTAATCCACATTTTATTTAGATTTCCTTAGTGTTTACCTAATGCCCTTCTTCTGTTCTGGGATCTCATAACATCATGTTACATTTAGTTCTCATGTCTCCTCAGGCTTCTTTTGGCTGTGACGTTTTTCTCAGGCTTTCCTTGTTCCTGATGACCTTGGCAGTTTTGAGGAGTACTTACTGATTAGGTATTTTGTGGAGTGCCTCTCACTGAGATTTGTCTGATGTTTTTCTTGTGGCTAGATTGGGTTATGGGTCATTGGGAGAAAATGCAGCAGTAAAGTGCCATTTTCATCACGTGTAAGGTTACATGCACCCTATCAACATGACTAATCACTGTTGATGTTGACCTTGATCAGATAGTGTTGGCTAGTTTTATCCACTGTAAAGTCACTATCTTTATCCCCTTTCCATACTTTACTCTTTGAAACAAAGTCAACACCCACAGTACGCACTTAAGGAGTGGGGACCCTCAGCTTTTAAAACACAGAAATTGTGCAGCAGTTTTTGAAGAGCAGGTGTGAGTGACGATGTTGCTGAATTGTGGAGTGGGGAAAGAGAAAAACCCATGCTTTCGTGGTTTATTATTATTTTTAAAGCCCCAATATATTGCTGTGAGAAGGAAGACAAACGTCAGTGGGAATTTTGTATTTTGTGGAATAAAAATTTATTTCAACCTTGGGCCTAGACCTTCTTTGCTGGTTTAAGTAAGACAATCAGTTCTTACCTCTACCACCAGGACCCCTATCCTGTTGTTGGAGCCAGAGAAGGAAAGATTAAAATTGTCTTGTATTATTGAGAGATTATAGAAGACAGTTTTCTTAAAAGCAGTGCCTTTCAGTTGCATTTACTGTGTGGTCACAGTCTGTGAGTTTTTCACAGCCGGTCCTGGCTAGGTGGGCCATGGGTACTGTCTTTTCCTAGGTTACCAGTTCTATTATTGGTAGAGGATTTCTTACCTCCCTCTAGTGCTCAGTTTTATAATCACAGATTCTACCTGGATCAATTCAGCAGTGGAAAAATCAAATTTGTGGCAATCTTTATGATAATTTTTCTGAATATTTTAATATAGATGCTAAAATAGATAGTGGTTGAATTTTAGCTATGTCTTTTGGTGTTAGAACTAATTTTAAAATGAGGCAGTGTTGTAAGGTGGTGAGTAATTATAACTTGATGAAAAGCTATAGTGATGAAGATTGTTTTCTAGGCAGAAGGTTTACCTACCTACTATTATAGTAAGAACCTCAGTGGACATTTGATTTTTAATCAGGAATTGAATTTGGCTTCTTTCAAGTGTTTTATCAGTGCTCTAGGAGCAGTGCATATTCTAGATAAACTTGAAAGCTGCAAAGCTTTATGAGGCTAGGAGTGAGGGAGGCCTCTCAGCATTGTTCGTCATTTCTTCACAGATAAAATTTTATCTCCAGTGCAGGAAATAGCCTTCTTTAAGAGATTTACATCAGCATTTGTTATTTTACCAGGGCTTTAAAAATGCAGCATTTTTTTTTCAGGTCACTATCTGTAGATATTCTTAAGAAAATGGAAGTAATTTACTAGAACTAGAGGCGGACTTTGTACACCTCCTGATGGAAATACTGGGTGGTGCAGTATTTTGCTATGCAAGTATTCATCCTCTGAATGAGTCCTAGTATTTGTTCCCAGACCTGGAGTTTTGCTTTATTGAGATCCAGAAGGGTGACATCCAAGGAAAGATAACTGAATCCGTGTGAAGTCTGCGAGTCCCTCTAGTTCTCTTCCTCCACATCAGGACTGAAACTGGACTAAGGGGCAGCGATCCACTAAGCACTGCTACTGTTCAGAAATAAGGAAAGACTTTATACAGATAACTCGTATTAAGCCAGTCATTTATTTGTGTCTACTTGTGATCCTCTTGTTGTATGAAACACCATGTAGAAATAGTGAAGAAATGACTATCTTTGCACATTAAGTGATGTGGTCTGTCTGTTGCCACTCACCCAGCTCCATCTGATCCACTGGAACTCCACTCTGTTTGGCAGCATTGATGAGGCTGTGGGGAAGCCGCATGGAATCGCCATCATTGCTCTGTTTGTTCAGGTAAACCATCTGCTGTGATTATCGTATTGTTTAGAGATGCTAATTTCTAAATCATTTTGTAAAATATTTTTTCTCAATTTTATTGCTTACAGATGAAATTACGAACATACAGAGAACACTTGATAAAAATAGATAACTTGATCCTTATGGTTCATGAAAGTTCAGCCATATTCATTGGTAGAAAATAGTTACTTTATTTATTATAAATTTTCTTCAGAGTGGCATTCAAGGTCCTTGAAGAAATGATTTAGGAAATGTCTCCTGAAGGTAGAGTTTATTTTATTTATGAAAAAGATTTTCAGAAAATGTTTTTAGACCCTGGTTTACAGAAAAATCTATGAAAAATCTATAATAGAAGATTACTTCACCCCTTCTTTATTAACAATTTTACTCTGAGATTACTCGAAATGCTTTGAAGGAAAACACTGATAAAAATCAGACTGGCAAAGACCTTGGCAGATATAGTCAATATAACATTTAGATTTGAGCTCTGTGGTAGGCAAAGGATAGTATATGAATTTACCCAAACATATGAAAGCAGGCCATGTGCTTTCAGAGGTAAAAGCTTAATCTTGTTTTTAAGGCAAATCATCGAAATTTTGTTTTATTATATATTTGAAATCATAAAAGATTTAGAGGTGAAAGAGTGCCTGAAAATTTTAGCTCTAAAGCTGCCATCAGGACCAGAAAGCAGAGTTCCAGCTCTGCATGGCTCTGGGTTGCCTCTTGGGTAACCTGGGAATAGAGCATGTTAGCACAGTGTTCTTCAGAAACTTAATTTTCCAAAGAGAGTTCCATAATGGGCCCTTTTAAACTTGTTTTTTTATGGCATATATATCAAAAATTAATTGCAATAATATTTAATACCTATCTCCTAGATATTTCTTTATTGATGTTTGCAAGTAGCCATCCAAATTTGACTCTTGATATTTTTAAATAAGCATCTTGCAAATATGACACATGCCACAGAATTTAAAAGGAAATCCTTACATTTTTCAGTGAGCCCTCCTCTGACTGTTTATTCCATGGCTTTGTCATAGGCAGGGACTTACATTCTTTGTATTTTATAACTGGATTATATAAATCACAAAAAGAAAGAAAAAAATCACAAAATGTTAATGAAAAACTTAATTATACAAATATATTTTGATAATTTTTAGTGTATTGAAGTAACAATTATGAAAGACTACTCTTATAACCCAGAAAAGTTAATAAAGCATCAAAATCTGAGGAATTGAGACAAGGTACTATCTCATTACTAAAAACAAGAATAAAAAATAGTAAGATAAAGTAAAAATAAGAAATACAAATAACCACATAGTCATATATAGAGGGGAAAGGAACATGCCATTTTCATCTTGGGAATTGTTAATAAATATTTGTGGGTGGAATTAGGTGTGATAGCTTAGTATTTTCACTTCCTGATTCTTAGCATGTAACAGGTGACCTGGATTTGTAGAGCCCCAGACTGAAATCCCAGCCCCTTAGAATTAATGCGAGTATTTCCAAGAACAAGCTGCGTTATTGCAGGCAAGGAAAAGCCTGGTTAGCAAGCACACTTTTTCTAACTTTCTATAAGTTTTTGTGGGGAAAAATTCAGGTCATCTGTGTGCAAATTCTCAGGGGAGAGTAAAATCACAGAACTGAGAGCAAAATTTCATGAAGGAAAGAAGGAATGGAGGGAGGATGGGCTGAAATCCCTGCAGGGAGGGCGTCTGGCCCTTGGACTGGAGGAGAGAAATGGGAGGGAGGAAGTCGGAGACATTGAGTAGATTTTCCTTCCAAGAAGCTTGGCTGAAGGAAGGAAGGACAGATGGGGCAGTAACTAGTGATGATGTCCAGTGAATCTTTTGAGATCTGAGATCTGCCTGTGGTTCCCTCCCCCCCACCCCCGAGCAATAAGAGCTATTGCAGACATAGAGATTAAAAATACTGGCAAGAGAGGGTGTCACTAAGGTGGAAAAGTCCTGGAGGAGGGAAGAGGGCACGGGATGGAGAGCTTATGTGGATGGACTAATCTCAGATAGGAGGAAACCCACCCCTTCTCCAAAATAGAGGGCCAGAAGGAAAGGGTGGGCACAAATGGGGCCGATTCAGGCAGGATGTGAAAGGCAGGATGTTAAGAAAGTTCATGCTGACGACCTTTATTATCTCTGAGACACACAAAGCAGAATTATTTATAGAGCAAAGAAAGCCTGGTGTGGGATTGAGTCTCGAAATAGCTCAGGAGGGGATGATAATAGACTTGGCAGTCACTGAGGGAATCCCCCTTGGGATAGGACACCCCAGATCATACAGGACAGGGTATGGTGGGTTGTTTTTTATGCAGGTAAAGGAGTAGAGAGTTCTAGTAAGTTGTTGTGTTGATCCATCACAGAGCAGATGACGTAGGAAGTAAAAGGATTAAAGAATGGAGAGTGGTTGGAGAGATCTCATTCTGTTTAGCCAGTCCCACGTCTAGGCAGGAGGGGGAAGGAGAAGAAGCCACAAGGACATGCAAGCCTTGGCTCCTGGTGATCAGAGGAGGTGAGAGAGGAAAGAGCAGGAGAGCTGGCTGGCCTGGGGCATCCGGTCAGAGAGGCCAGTCTTTCAGAGTTGAATTTTTCGGAATGAGAGCACATACCAGGAGTCCCCTCAGGGTTGGTTTGCTGAGGTGAATGGGACAGAAGGCCACAGAGTGAGGGCTGAGAAGACTTAGGCCAGGGAGGAGATGGGTCACCCCCTGGATGCTGAAGTCATTCAGGGTGACAGCAAGGAGGTGATGCTTGGGAGGGATGGTCTAGTGGGTCAGTAAGGGAGAAGGAGGGCATGGTAGCCTCAGAGGATGGTCCCCTTGGGAGGATGGCTCAAGCACATGGGTCAGAGTCACACTGAAGAGAGCAGGAATGCACTGACTGTGGCCTTCAGTCTGTCTTCCTGGGGGACTTCCACTAGAAAGGCCTGCAAAAGAGCTGTGGCCTCGGGCAGACCTGAGGGGTTCAGGTAGATTGGGAGGTGGTGGGAGAGGCTGGCAGAAATGCAGAGTTGTTCTGTTTCAGAAAGTGCAGTGGAAGATAAGGAGAGATTGAGTTAGAAGTGAAAAAAATGGGAGGTTCAGGGCTGAGATGCCAGGCGAGGAAAACAGACCAAAGTGGTTTGTATTTCCGGTGGTGGTGAAGGATGGCAAAGGTGAGAGGTGAGAAATGAGTTCTTCTCAAGGTTTCTAGTGGGCTCTTGGTATCAGGTTGTGCTATCTGAACAGTTGCTTGCACAATTTTAGCAGTTGGGGTGTGGAGATTATCATCAGAACTTGCCTTTTGCTGGTTATAGTTTCTTCATACAAAAATTTGACAAGGAAGGAAAGGAAGAGATGGAGTAAGAACAGAGGTTATAGAGTTTTCAGGATATTACGTTTTGCCCATAAAATAGAGTCTTTATAGTTAAAAGGAGCTGGTAATAGTCGTTAAGTGCTGTTATATGGAAAAACTATATTTGATGCTGTAGCGCATCTAGAGTAAATTAATAATGGATATTAAGTGAATTATGATGACCCAAGCCCTACAGTCATTGTTTGATTTAATCTTATCTTCAACCCTATCATTTTTATCCTCCCCATGAGGATTTTATTCCTCCCTACGAGGAAGTGGAAGGATGTAAAGGTTAAATACACTCGCTTAAGTTCACACAGCTAAGAGGTGGCCGAGTCAAGATTGGAATCCAGGCAGTCCATTTGCAAAGTGAGCCTATTCCTCAGCTGCCACATTGAGTGGCCTTCGTGTTTACATGTGGATGCTTCAAAGAGTTTACAGCCCGACAGGAGATGCTGAGATGAACACAGACCCCAAGTGCAGACGTAGGCTTCCCAGTACTATAGGATGGTTAAACCAGTAAGACAAAGAGAGGTCCATTTTCTCCTGAAGAACGGGTAATGACTTCTGCCTAAAATTCCAGGCTGCTGCACCCACAGGTACATATGCATTAGGTTTTTAATTTTTTTTAACTTTAGAAAATTTATTTTCTGTTTTTAGAGCCTAACTCAGGAATAATTGTCGAAGCTTAGAAAATAGTTCATGTCTTGATTGTTTAGAGCTGACAGGCTATCGTAGGTAGAGCATTTCTCATCTCTCTCCTGTCCCTTTGGATGCTCTTTCAGCTGGCCTGTTTTGCAGTTGGGTAATGTCAAGAGAAACAGAGAATGTGAACATATTGGCAGCTACTCTAGCTTCTCTTAGGTCGTTCTCCAAATATCTGTGTGGAAGGAGAAAAGCTGACAAAAGCAGTGATTGCTTATTTGAGGTTCTAAATGATCTCCATTACTCTCTTCCATTATCATGGACCATTAGAAATTGGTCAGATTTCACTTAAAGTTTCTAAAGGCGAAGTCAAGAATATTAAATATTAGAATTTTTTTGTCTAATTTTTTGGGAGAATTTTATGTACTAATAATATATAGTGATATGTTTTTTAAAAGAAGGCTATGAAAAGCATATTCTTATTTATTTAAGAATAGAAAGGTAGTTATATTATTATGACCAGTAGTAATCAAGAAAGTTCTTGATTTTGGTGAATTTAACAACAAAATCACCTATCTGCTTTTCTAAGTTAATATAATTTTTCAGTATTGTTAAAATCTTTATAGCAGTGATCTATACATGCCAAAGTTAAACATGGAAGGGTTTGAACATGTACTGAGTAGTTTTCATTCAAAAATGTCCTTGGTATTTTTATATAATAGTATTTTATAATTTGATATATATAGCAAAGTGAGTGATTCCTATACATAGTAAGAAGAATTTAGAATGAGTTTCTGGACATTTACATATCTAATACTTCATTATACTAGCTTCCATTACAACTTTAATTACCTTTAGTAGATATTGACCTAGTTATTAATAAAAGGCCATTTAATTAGTCCTCAGAAAGGGCATTCAGATGGACTGGAGCCAAGTTCTGTTCGTTTTGTTGAGTTTAAGCTAAACACTTAAAAATGCTGTGGTTGTGGTTTATGCTTTATATTTTGCAGATAGGAAAGGAGCATGTTGGCTTGAAGGCTGTGACTGAAATCCTCCAGGATATTCAGTATAAGGTAAGTCATTATTTAAAGTAATACAAAAAAGCTGCTCATGTAGGAGGTCCCTGTGACCACCTGTGGGCTCGATGCTGTGTTGGAAGGACTCACAGACCTCAGAAAAGCTGCTCATGTAGGAGGTCCCTGTGACCACCTGTGGGCTCGGTGCTGTGTTGGAAGGACTCACAGACCTCAGAAAAGCTGCTGTCCTTGGGGTTATGGTTTATTGCAGTGAAAAGAAACAGATCGAAAAGCAGAGGGAAGAGGTGCATGGAATGAAGTCCGGGGGAAACAGGGCACAAGCTTCCAGGTGTCCCCTCCCTGGGGAATCACATGAGGATGCCCCTGATTCCCCTCGCAATGATGGGTCACAACATGTGTGAAGTGTTGCCAACTATGGAAGCGCACTCTAGCCTTGGTGTCTAGAGATTTATTAGAGGTCAGTCATGCAATCACAAAATGCCTGCAACATAACTGACCTCAGATGCTCAACCTCTAGCAGCAACCCTCTCCCTGCCCTCTTCTCTGTAAGTCACATTATCAGCATCAGCTTCTCTGTTCCAATTGGTACAGTATGTCTTGAGGCCTCAGGCATGTAACAGCAGGAGTTCATCATAAATACAGCATGGCCCAAGTCTGCAGGCACACAGAAACACTTATATCAGGTAGAATATTCCACACTCAGAGGTTATATCCCAGGAGACAAGAGTTAGTCCTGAAGACAGGCCTTGATCTGGGATGTGCAAGGTTTGAGCAACTCAGGCCTGCTGGGTTAACCCTTTCCTACCTGCATGCTATAGGAAAGTTGTATAAATGAAACAAATACAAATTTGGGGAATCATATTTCAAAGCATTTATGTTAAATAAATTTTAAAAAAGAAAACAAGTACACATATGTGGTAAGATTATATACAAGAGAAGGTGATCAACATGTCCCTGCAATGATATGACCCAGCATTGCTAGGAAGCCAATGCCAATCTCTCTTATAAGCAGTGCCTTTTTGGCTCATGCTTATAGTCAGCTGAATGTGAGTGATCTTGGGGAGGGGAGTAGTCTAGTCTTGTAGGGCTGCTGGAGATACAGAGCAGGGGTTGAACGTGTTTGATTGCAGGAGATCCAGAGACCCAAATCCAGTTCTAAGAAAGATCAATTTGAATTAGCTTTACACTGGCACAGCCCAGGGTATCCTGAACCAGGCAGAACCTTCACTGAAGGTCTCCTGATTAGGTTTGTAATGAACCCAGCTTCCAAGGGAAGCCCAGTCCAGACAAAAGAAACTGATAAGAAGATGGTCGAGGGCACGTTTTGACTTGTATTTGTATAGTTGCAATGGGCTGAGAAAATTTATTTTACCATGTAATAGGACACCAATCACTATGGAACTCAGGAGGATCAGGGAGGCAAGTAAGCTAGAGTCTTTACTGTGTAAAATAGTCCCAGGAAATCAGGAAGGGACTTGGAGGTTATGCAGTAGCTCTCCCTGTTACATCTGTTATCAATACAGTAATCTTTTTTTCCTGTCACTTCACAATTCTTTTATGACTGATCAATACAGTAATCTTTTAAGAAAAATCTGATTCACTTGACAGGGCCAATTGCCTCTAAAGTCTAGGCAGTTTAAATGACATGATTTAAAATGATGATCTTAAATGTGAATTGTTGAATAAGGGTACAAATGACTCCCTTGAAATTTAAATCCAGCTTTAATAAACATTGATTGGAACAGAATATTTCCATGTGTTTTAGATCTCCCTTTCTAGGTGTGATCTATACCAGCATCTGGCATAGATCCCAGAGCTGAAGCACCAAATCCAAATAGGACAAAACAGGAAGCTGGAAGCCAGGGTGTGATGCCAAAAAGGTTAGGAGCTGCAGTGAAATTAAGCAGGAGGAAAGGCATTTTGAAAATCCCCCCACCCAGAGTTCAGGCATTTTATGGTAAGAATTTAGCCCAAATCTCTGATATGAATTGTGCTTAGAGCAGAAAAAGTAACCGATGTGGGGGCAGATGGGCACCAATTGTAGGTTTCTCACCAGGACTTACAGGGAGAATTGAACTATGGTAGCAAAGAAAATAGTAGTAGAATCACAGCAGGAACCAGACGATACTACTCGAATGAGTAGGTAGAAGGAAACACCAACAAATGGGTGGGACCTGATGAGGCCATTCATAAAACACTTCATCCTACATTTTTTCTAATACATTTTTAATTCTAAAATCTAGAACGATTACATTAACATTGGGTAAATATTTTTTTCTTTTTCAGGGGAAGTCCAAAACAATACCTTGCTTTAACCCTAACACTTTATTACCAGGTGAGTATTTATCTGATGCATTAAAATGAATTTTAGCCGTGGCTATAGTCACATTGTTTTTTGCAGACTGTATAAAACGATATGTTGTTAGTTAATAATTTTTTTTGCAATTTATATTCTCATTAGCAGCTACCATTTCCAGATTACTCTAAATGTATAAACCTTTTGAAGTAATAAAGAGACACTTTGCCCCTAGTTCTGTTGATCTGTCAAGAGCTTTCTTAGGATTGTCATTTGTAAAAATTGCTACTTCTGTGCAAAGCACCAGTATAATAAAATAACTGGCTTGGTGTGGTGGCTCACCTTTGTAATCCCAGCTACTCAGGAGGCTGAAGCAAGAGAACTGCTTGAACCCAGGAGGTGGAGGTTGCAGTGAGCCGAGATCACATGATTACACTCCAGCCTGGGTGACAAAGTGAAACTCTGGCTCAAACAAACAAAAACCCTGATGTACTTCTAAGATTGTTCAGTAGAGTTCTTAATCTTTACAGTAAAATGAACTTTGTATCTAATTTTAAAAGATTACCTCTCTGCAGTAATACTATTATTATACATTATTCTAATTGTATATGTGTGCAGGTAACAATTATACATAAAATACTCAGGATATGATTTAAAAGTTTGTCGCATATAAATTTTGGTCTTCACATTTCTCTGCCCAAATTATGTGTTGTGTCTTAGTGTTTCAAACAAAACCAAATAGGTTGATGCATTGTATCTTCTGTTTTCTGCATTTAATTGCTCTACAACAAACCAATTTCTATGATATGTTAAACATTTATTAATCATATTTAATCATAAATTCCTCTAATGCAGAGCTAAAGGATTTCATAAGAATGATTCATTTTGTCCTATTATAATATGGTTTTGATATTTTGCTGTTGAAGAAGTAGTATAGAGGTAGCTAGAACTGAATGGTTAAAAATACAGGCTTTCAGACAGACGTGATGGCCCTCACCTATGTAATCCCAAAACTTTTGGAGACTGATGTGGGAGGATTGCTTGAGGCCAAGAGGTTGAGGCTTGCCTAGGCAACATAGCCATACCACACTCTAAAGAAAGGAAAAAAAAATGCTGGCTGTGGTGGTGTGCACCCATAGTCCCTGCCTGGGAGGCTGAGGTGAGATAATTGCTTGAAGCCAGCAGTTTGAGGATGCAGTGGTTCATGATCGCACCACTGCACTCCAGCAGCCTGGGTAACAGAGCCAGACCCTGTCTCTTAAAAAAAAAATACAGGCTATGAAACCAGACTGCCCAAGTTCGAATCCTGACTGCCAGTGGTTATTAGCTGAGTGACCTTAGGCAAACTACTGATGTTATTATTCCCCATCTGAAAAATAACATTAGTAATGCTACCTATCTCACTGGTTTGTTGTGATGGTTAAATAAATTAATGTAAATTGCTGACACATTGTAAACATTCAATAAATATTAGATACAAATCAATCAGGTAAATTCTTTAATAAAGTAAAAAAAACTCAAAATATACATACGTTTCTAAAGTGCTTAAACTTGACAGGTTTATTCTGTAATCCACTGATAGAAATCACTGTAAATAATAGAGAATTCATCATGTTTTTTATCCATTATTTTCTCCACAACGAGTAGTTTAATATTGTGGGGCTCTAATCTGAAAATGACTTCCATCTTTGAAGTGTCATTTGGACAGTTTGTGATTTTGGAAATTGTTGGAGTCATCAGGATTGTTACTGTTTCACTTGCCTTTTCATGACACGTCCACGTGGCCGTATAGACCCTCTGCTGCGGGATTACTGGGTGTATGAAGGCTCTCTCACCATCCCACCTTGCAGTGAAGGTGTCACCTGGATATTATTCCGATACCCTTTAACTATATCTCAGCTACAGGTGAGTGTGCTACTTTGAATCTTTCAGAGTGAAGTTCTGAGTTAAACATTGTTTCTGAGAAAGGAAGATGCCTGTTTATGTTTTAGCTCCCTTTAGGTCTGTCATAGCTTTCCAGATGAAAGTTAAATGGCTTGAACTAGTTAAAGTGATTGAAAGGTCAAGGATGGACAGAACCCAACACTCATTTATGGTCTATATTTCAAAAGTTAGTTTTTAAAGAGTTAATAGAAATCGGGGAAGGAGAAAACTTTGGATTAGTCGAGTTATTTCTTTATGTGAATTTCCCCAGGTGTGGAGAGGAGAACGTCTGGAAGTAAAGTAGGGATGCTGATTATTTCTGTAAGTCACACATAGGCTTTGTAATGGTTTTGCCTTGGTGTGTACAGGAAAGTTCTGCATATGTAGGGGTGGAGGACCCAGGAGGAATGCCCTGGAAAATTCTGGATTGTTTTCTAGCTCCACTTTTGGTCACCCACTCCCTGCCTTGGACTCTGCGTAGGTGCCCTAAAGGCTACTGCGCAGTGGGTAGGAGCACCCGAGTGAGTTGTCTGGTGGAGTTAGCTGGTGGAGCATGAGGCAGCATCACTCTAATGTATTTAAACCATGATCTCGATATTACAAAAGGGGCTTTAAGTATCTCCTGTCTTTCAGGGATCTCGCTAAGGCATGGATACATTCTGGAGAGCTATATTGTTCTTTTGTGATCAAATTCAAAAGGGTTGGGAAATACTCTCAGCAAACCAAGGTTTCTTTGGTAGCTTTTAAATATTCCCCATTATTTCTTACTTCTTAGTAAAGCTTTTTTTAGTTTGTCCTGAAATATTAAAAAAATCCTTCTTCCAACATTTAATAATTTCTCTTAATTTCTGTTTTGTTAGGGATTAATCTAAACATTTCCCCACTCAGCCTCTCCTCCTCATAGCCCTTATTATTTTATGAACTCTGATCATAACACCTTTGAACCTTCATATTTTTATATGACAAATCCTGGTTCCTACATTTAGTCATTCATCTATTTGTTCTTATAGGAGACTATGCTTCACATGGTTAGACTTGGGATACAGGTTTGAGAAAAACAACTGTGAAGACAAAGGGCTCTTCTCATCACTTCAAATAGGGGTATATGCTACCAACACCACTTACCACTGGTGATGTGTTCTCTTTTTAGTACCACTAAATACACATTGCTTTTAATTTAAAAACGAAGGACACAAAGAAACCCTTCCTGAATGCCAAATGGACACAGAGGTTAACAAGAGTAAAACACAGTCTTTACCCTCAAAAAGTTCACCATAGAGTTAGAGGCAGATGACTAGACAGTTAAAATGATAATAAAGAAGGTGCTCTGGAAACACATATGGAAGAAACCCAACCACGTCCAAGAGGCATATGGAATAATTCCTGTAAAATATTAAAGTCTGGTAAAGGAGAGGAAAGAAGTTAGAAATTTGGGTCTAATGTTAAGCCTAGAGTTTTGGACTCATGATATCTCGATTTGCGACTTAACAGTGAAGATGATGGCTGCAACACCAGATAAACCTCAAAATGTCAGTGACTTAACACAGCAGAAATTTATTTCATACTCACATAAAATCCAACATATGTGTTTCTGATTTGCAGTGAAGGCTTTTCTCTGTGTAGTCTTTCAGGGAACCAGGTTGAAAGAAATGCTTCCATCTGCACTGCCTTCCTCCCACAGTCGCCATTGGTGAGAACAGTATGTTCTCAACAGGGATCTTTTGAGGTCCAGTGATGGAAACAGTGAGCTCCACTTATACTTACTTTCTGTTGGCTACAACTGGTCACATGACTACCCTAACTGCAGGGGAAGGTGGGAAGTGCATTCTAGCTTCATCCCCAAGAAGAAGAAAAAAACAGATTCAGTGATCAGGTGAGTTAGCAATTCCTGGCATGGTAGCTTACGCTGAGTAGGAAGACAAGAAGATAGTCCCTGCTGAGTGCAACACTGCAGTGGAGATGGGGGAGATGATGCCTCCTTAAGAACTAAAGACCCAGGGTCTTGAGAAGAACAGAGAGGAAGGGTTGCCAAGATGTGGAGGACAGGGGTGGTTAATACTGAGAAATGCTGTGGAGAATTTCAGTAGGACAAGTGCTGCCCACCCAAGCATCAAATAATTACAGCCACTTTAAAAAATGGGCCCAGGTGATCAGAGTTCCTCGACTCTGAACTTCTGCCTTTCATCTGGCTTAAATTCTGGATCTTGACTTGTTCTTGTCCTTTGAGACATGATGTTTCCCTGGCTGGGCACGCTCACTGCTTGATTCTAGTTTTATATCCTCCTCTCTTGCGGACCTTGGCTTCCCTTCTCCAATACCACTCTTCCTCCATCCCTTCCACTGAGCTGTTTCTGCTTTCTCCAGGTAAGTAGCCCATCCAAGAAGTTTGCTTTTAGGCTCCTACCATGGTGAAAGCCTTCTTTTCTTTTCTGATTTTGCCTCATCATTGCAAACAAGATGCGTGAACAAGTGCTGTAGTCACCAGTTAGGCCACTGTTAACCCAAGGGAGATGTTTCCATAGAATGTTGAGCTGAACGTAGAGGGACCAAGAATAAACATGGACCATCTTTATGGTCCACAAGAATAAATATATAGACCATCTTTCTAGAAGTTGAATGGGAAAGGAAAGGAGGGATTTAGGTACAACGTTTAGAGTAGTCAAGTGTATTTTGTTTTGTTTTTTAGATTTAGGAAACACTAGAGGTTTTTTAGACATATTGAAAACAATCTGTGAATATGACAGTTGATCCCATGTTATGGTGACTTCCATTATCATTCCCAGGTTTCAGATGAGGTGATTGAGGCCTAGGCAAACTAATAAACCTTTGCCTGCAGGAACAGGCAGTAAGGGTGGATTTGGAGATCCATCCAGTCATGTGCGATGTCAGTGCTGGGTGCTTAACTACTGCCCCCTTTCGGTGTGCCCTTTTCAACATTGCACTTCCTTTGAGACCTTCTTTCTACATGAGGCCTTGTTAGGAAGTCCCCAGCAGTGTTACCGTGGTTTCTGCCCTTTACTGTGTTATGTTCTGTATCCCCAGTTGGAGGAGTTTTGTTTCCCTCAGACAGTTGGAAATGCATAACAAGAACTTCAGCAGCTGAGGCCTGATGTGCAGATTTAGGGATCCTTAGCGTCAAAAAAAAAGAGCAGAATAACAAAACAAATGAGACACCCAAGAAAAGAATATGGACAGAGAAGAATCACATAGTAAGAATGGGAGGAGACACCCTGGGACACTTTCCTGAGGCTGATACTTCCTGAGGTATCCTTCCTAAAACTCTTCTAAACTGGTAGGACCCCATGTAATTCGCTCCTGTTTGCCATCTGGTCACTCCAGGTCACTTCTCTTGCTGACTTTGTATTTCTGAAGCAGAGAAGGAATCTGGAATTCGCGGGCATGTGTGGTCGGTGGTGAATGCCACCCCATTCAGGTCAGACTCAGGGACTGCAGCCTGTGCGGGGGCCATGGGTCATACAGGTGCTGTTGTTCTATGAATGACACTTGTAAAACATCAAACTTCCCTCTACATTTGCTTTTCCTACAGTTTGACTCAAGGATACATACACATTTCTTCGTTGTTGTTGCAGATAGCCCCAAATCATAGATACCCAAATTTCAAAACCCCGAGGCTTAACATTACAGTATGTTTTATGATACGAGGACACATTCATTTGCCTTTACTTGTCATTGACCCTGTTAATAAGAGCGATTTATTGATATAGTAAGGTAATTATGTCATAGTTCTAGCTTCCATTTCTTTATCCGTCTCATAGGTAGTTGTTAGCATGTGAAATTGCTCCTTTGAGAGTGATTTGGATAACTTGTCCATTGATTCATGCATTCCTTCATTTATTTGTCAATTATTTGACATTTGCTCTGTGCCAGTTACTGTAATCAGTACTGACAAGAGGAGATCAGTAAGATACTCTCAAAGAATTCACCATCTAGGGCGAAAGGCTGGCTGATACATAGGTGTACATTAAAAGAAAAACCCAGTCCAGCACTGTGGGATGGTACAGACATAGTCTTGAGGTAGCACATAGGAAAGGTGCCTGGATGAGAGTTAGTTATCTAGAGGTCTTTCCCAAGCCAAGAAGGAGGTATTGCCTGAGTATTTGTGGGAATTGCCAACAGGGGAAAAGTGTCTGTATGCTTGTGTCTGGCAGGGAAGCCAGAGAATACAGAGTGCATTTTGGAAATGCTTGCAGTAAGCGTGGAGAGCCTATGATGTGAGGGGGTCGGAGAGGGGAGCAGGCGCCTTCCTCAGTGAGCCTCAGGGTGGTGCCATGGGTTTGGGTTTTCTCCTGAAGGTGGCGGAGAATCACAGGAATGTTGTAAGGAGGAGAGAGATGTGAACAAGTTTAAATTCAAGAAACACTCCGTAGCTGCAGTGTGAAGATGTGGATCATGTGGCAGTGAGACAGAGGGAAGGGAGTGACTTTAGCAATAATAAGGAAGTTAAAGCAGAACAGTGTGACTGATGACATAGGAAGGATTTGGGGAGGAAAGACCCCCTTGTCACTGGGCCTCCCCTGGTTTTGGCTTGGTTGACTGGCACATGTAAGCTGTTGCTCTCTACCATGATAAGGAATCAAGAAGGAAGAGCAGCCTTCATGGAGAAGATGCCAAGTTTATGGTTGCAAATATGGAGAGTTTGAGATGCCTTTAAGACATCCAAGAAGGGGTATGGTATACAAGTGGTGGGTGAAGCAGTTAGTGTAGAAGAGGAGCTCCTTCAGAGGATGAGGGAGTGGCCTCTAACCAGGGGTGTGCACTGTAAGAGTGTCCCCAGGGAATGGCTTGACAAGTGGAAAAACACAGGAGCCTCATGTGATGGTTAGAGAAGCTATGGGAGAGGCGAGTTTCAAGAAGGAGTAGAGAGATCATGAGTGTCAGATTCTGCACACACATTCAGTTAAGGATAAAAAGTATTAACTGGATTTAGCCACAGGAGAGATTATAAACTTGAGAACGAAGTA